GGTAGAGATTAGGGTTTTAGTCCTTATCCTTATCTAGTTACTTGCCCACCAAGCAACCCATAAGATAAGTTTAGAAACCTATCCTTGGACGAATTCTAGGGCCTTATCCCCTTGAATTCGTCCACCTCTCCCTTAGGGCATCCATTGCCCTAATTTGCAACTATCACATAATAACAATTCAGCCCCTATAGTTTAATTAATTGCATTTGATCACAAAATTAATTCTTAATTAATTATTGACCCATATTAATTAAACAAATATGATTTCTCCTTTAATATATTATTCCTATAATATATTAATAAATCATAATAACCTCTTTCTCTATTATTTCTCCAGTCAAGTTGCTTTAGTGAAGGCAACCCAAAAGGACCATGCACAACCAGGTCAAGTACTTACCAAATATGGTTACGGGCTTAGACATTAATCCAACAGTTAAGAAGTTGGGATTGTTTGTATTAAGCACTTAATGGGCATGTAAAGTCATAAAGTTGGAAATTTTATGACTTTGAATGGTATTCTGGCCTTGGATCTGCATTTGGACGTAAAAATTCGAAGTATTAAGCTCTTAATTGGTTAAGAAGGAAAAACTGTGTGTATGTTGGGCTTATCAAATGGTACAATGCGCGTACACAGGTTGATCCCTGATGCATCGGACGCGAGTATGCCCCACGTACACAGTGACATCCCCAATTTCACAGTCAGAAAAGACCAATTTGTTTATGATTTATTTAAAAATCAGAGTATCCTTTTAAAGAATAATATTACAAAATTTGTTCCAAAAATATGATAAAGATATTATCAAAGCATTTCCGAAGAAATATATTTTAATTATATTAAAAACGTTGGGATGTCATTGTCAATACAATACATAATCATAAACGGAAATAACACAGGCCTTACAAATATCTATTATTCTATTGTCCTATAATCCATAAATCTCTCATCTGATCATCACACATGTATCCTTTTGTGCCACTACCTGTAATACAAGAAATTGAGTGGGTCAGACTTGGGAGTCTGGTAAGCACATTGGGTTTTCAACCCACAATAATTAAATTCTTTATTTTCATCAAATCATTCAATCCGATTACCCGTTCTCATTATCATCACTTTCTGTCCTTAAAGCATCTAATTTAAGGGACATATCCTAAGGATTATCCTTGGGATAGACAATAATTCTTAGGGGATTCCTCAGCAATATATGAAACATCCAAAAATGTGGTCCCAAAAATTTCAATTTAATAATAGATAAAATCGTATTTTCCCATAACATCCAAACATTTGAAAAAAACCAATGCATCATTTTGCCATAAATCAAAGTAACACATCATAACAGAATCTCAATGGTGTGTGCGATGCAGTCATCCTGAGCTCTTCCCCTTGGAACCGGAAGTACCTGAAACATAAACCAAAACCTGTCAGCACAAAGCTTAGTAAGTTCCCCTAAAATACCAAATAACAATCATACAATAAACATATAGTGGGCCCCGCTCTATCATCTGGCCCCGCCCGACATTGAGCTGATCTCGGTAAACGAGCCCTGCCCAACATACAATAGCATATATCAAATAACCACATATGCATATAATAATAACATAACATAGCATATACCAAATCGCCAAGTTGTCCTTCCATTCGTTGAGTTTCTCCTTCAGTCTGCAAAGTCGGGAAGGAACCGATCCAACTCGACGAGTTCATCCGTGAACTCGTCGAGTGCACCAGAAATCCAACATCTTAATCCATTAAGCCGACCTTATCAAAACTAAGAGCTTCATAACTCTGATCTTAACTGAAATGGCCTCAAGGAGGGTAAAGTTTCCAACTTTACCCCCAAGAACCATCAAAATGGGTTCAAAACCCAAACCCTAGGCTTAAAAGGGTAAGAACTTCATCATTAAGCATTACATCACTAAAGGCACAACTCCAAACTAGAGAGTTATTCCAAAAAGCTAAATGGCCACGTAAAGTTTCCAACTTTACACTCATGCATGACTAGAAGAAGATCAAATACCCAAAAGAATCCGTAAGAAGGACTTAATGAATGCATGAAGCCCTTAAGACCGTAAAGTTGGCACCTTTATGGCATAAGAGATCATATAGACTATAGATCTGAGAGAACAACACTTGGGTCATCCTACACCCCAATTAACCACCCAAACATGGCCAAAAGCATTAAACTAACCCAAAAAGAGATCTAAGTCAATATTTAGCAAGGATAGAACTTTATACCCAAAATCTGATGGAAATGGAGTAGAGAATCAAGATCTAAGAGCTCCTACTTGAATCACCACCTTGCACCAAGCTTTTTTTCCTTCAATAAGCTTCAAACACACCAAAACACACCCACAATGAGCTCACAATACTCAAGGAGGCTCTAGGGTTTCGAGATTAGGGTTAAGGGCTATGGAGGCTGAGAATGAGGCCTACACCTGGGACTTAAGGTGTTTAGATAGGGTGCAAAACCCTAAAATTGAGATTTCCTTCCCAAATGTCAACTCGCCAAGTTGAGGCACCTCAACTCGTTGAGTTGACTCATTAAACCCCGCAACCAAAACAACTTCGACACGTCGAGTTGAGGCTTCCAACTCGACGAGTCCTCCAAGAAAATGCAAATAATTGAAATTAAATTCATACCAGAAACCATGCGTTACAATATATGTCAGTAAGGTAACCATGTGGAGGAGGGAGTACATCTGGTGAACACTTAGTTCAAAAACACCTACAGGTTGCGAGCATGCTAGCGTTGCACTAGATTGTCTAGAATAGTCTGTGGTCTTCGTCTATACTTCGCAAGATGATTAGATCATCTTCAAAGTCAATGCCTCTTATCATTTATCTCATCTTTCATCTTTCATCATCTATATCGTCTTTCATCTACCCATCTTTAACCAACATAATTATAGGTATAAAATACGTATATATTTTAAATCAGTAAAACATGTATAAATAGTTCGTCCAACATAGATATCAGGAACACAAATAATAGGTACATATAACATGTAAGTTATATTAGATACTTCATAATTATGTGTAAGATGAAAGTAACTATACACTCACTTGTTAAAGTGGCGACTCGAAATTCGGACAACGTTTTGCTTCTAGCAACTGTCTTTTCCTTTGACGTAACCTAGTATCATTATCATTAAGAGGCTGTTTGGCGGGATCTGAATTTTTAAGATCTGAATTTTAATATGCTGTTTGGTTGGAATCTCTGAATTATTATACTGAATAATGAAAATAACCATTTTACCATTCTCTATCATTTCTTTCAAATACAATATTATACTTCCAACCTTTTCTTATTAAGACATCGTGCTGTAAAAACTATAACCAATTCTACTATTCTAATTGGATAGAAATAGGAAGTACAATGCTATAATGATACAAATGACAAATTTATCTTTTAACAATTTTTTCAACACCATCAACTTCACCAAAATAGCATCAATAAACATCATCAAAATTCATAAAAACAACACTAATATTAACCAAAACAACATTGCACAATGTAACATCAATGTTAAGGTAATCATAATGTCATTTGCTTCAACAATGATACTGCAGTTCTGATTGAGATCATACTCTTTCTTTGCCTCCCTTACTCCACTGAACCAAAATTGCAAAAAAATCATTTGTAAAATATAAGAAAGACTAGTAATATGTACCATACCACCACTAAAAATTTTGTTCCTAAACCCACTGTAAAATTGATCATAATCATAGAACTTTCATGATGCTATAATTGGTTAAAGAAAACATTGACAAAGCTTGAAGATCGAAACCAGTTAGGTATCATCACCATGTAACTGCAAATTTGAAGAAAAGAAAACAGTTACATTTAAGATGATAGTGAAGATAGATCCAATACATTACTATAAGATAAAAACTCAAAGAAAAATATTATCATGACTGAACGTTTTATATGCTTCCGTGAGATTGTTTACCTTGCAATCAAAAGAGATAGAGGAAGGGATTTGTTTGTTGCCATATTTGAACAGGGACAACAACGTTCGCTGAAAGTTGGAGGACGACGACACTGGCAGAAGGCTAGAAGACGACAACGATGGCGAAGGGAGGTGTTGGAGGTGGTATCGACAATCGACACTAGGAGGTAAGAGCCTTGGAGATTATGTGCGATGGAGCGAGAGAAGTGTGCTGGAGCTGGCAGAGAAGGCATCGATGACGAAGACAACATCGATGGTGGAGGCGGTAGCCAGAGGGGATGACAGAGAGTTGCAATCAGAGTTGGAGCAAGAGGATCTTCGTTTGTGAAGAAGAAAGAGAAGAACAAAAAGAGCTGAAGTATTAGGGCAAAAGAGGTAACGCACATTTTTTTTTATATTTCGGAGACACTCTCACATCTGAAAAATTAAGAGGAATCCTTTTAAATTAAGAAGTATAAGTTCATATATCACCAAATAGTCTAAATCTGAAAATATAAAAGGTTGTCTCTTAAATTTTCAATTAAGAGGCTGCCAAACAGCCCCTTAGTGGACTGTTTACATATTTTTAGAGAAACTTGAGTAACTTGAATCAAAATGTAAGAATTGTAACATTTTGTATGTGAGTGTGAGATACTGAGATACACTCAAGAGGCCAATACCTGACCCAGGCACACCTAAGATTTCGGATACAACCATGTCTTGATTTATTTCAACATCTGATATTTTTTTTATAGACATTATGACCGTGGATCAACAAACTCAATGTTTATCTGACTTTATAAAGATGTTTTATATTAACTTGAGTTTTTTAGAAGTGTCTTTTTATGAACTTTATATAGTTATTATTATTTAGCCAACCCAAAAAGTATAATAGTGTTTAGAGATTGCAAGATTGGTTCAAATATATCTTGTTACTAAAGTAATGACTTTAAATAATCAACATACAAAATAAAGGAAAACATTCATTAATACTTTCAATAAAATAAAGACCATAGATTAAAACAAGTTTTAAGGTATTCAACCTCAACTAAATTCTTAAGGAGTAAATCAAACTTTCATGTGTTCTTTGGAGGTTCATTTTCCACTTCAATCACCAAACTTTGAGTAAAGCTCCTTTGGCCTAAACACTCATTTTCAGACATTGTGAAAAGCGATTTGTTGTTATTATTCGACTCATTACTTGTATGTGCACAACATACATGAGGGCACTCACCAAAGGTTGATTTGATCATGTTTTCCATCTCTTGAATGATTCTTTTTTGGCTTGACATGGTATTATCTATGTATTCTTTGAACTTACTTAGTTCAAGTCTAAGTTCATTTGACTTATGCTGAAGATTTTTAATTTCAAGTGTCATCTTATCCACCATAGATGTATTTCCTTTTTTTCTCCTCTTAATATTCCTTAGCAAGTGTCGTTTTCCTTTTTGGAACCATTCATGTGCATATTCACGCCGATCCCAAGAGATCTTTTTGAAACCCTAGTTCACAAATTCCAAAAAAGAACTTACCGTTACATTAACTCGAAAGAAAAAATATTTGTTTATAGCTTATCACATTTAAATGCAATCCAAGAATTAAATATCTTACATAAATGTTGAGCTGGGAAATGAAGCTATCAAATTTGTTACTCTTTGACATCTTAGGAAGGAGGTTGTTGATAAAGTTTTGTTCGTTCAATATAACAAAACTAGTAGCACCAACCCACGAGATTGTAGAGTTTATTGTTTTGTTACTCACCATATCATAGAGTTTAGTCACAAAAGGAGGAAGACTACCATTGCGTACTCCCCTAATCGGTTCTCTTCTACTATTGCTATAACCTTCACTGATATCACTAACAATCTCAATTTCCTCAACCTCAACATGCTCCATTGGAAGAACAAAATTTATGTATACTAAAATTTGTGTTTTATACTCAATATATAGGAAATTGCGGTGAGATTTTTGTGTTTATCACACTTTCCATCAAATGTTTTGACCGAGGTACACAATTTGATTCCTTTACTAGAAGGTAAGAAATCCATGGGTGTATGGTACAGTTTGATTCCTTTGCTAGAAGGTGAAAAAAAGGGGAGGGTACATTATGAAAACCATAAGTTAAAATACTAAAAATCAATTCTAGTTATTTATTACAGTTTTATATCAGACTTTAACGTTGATTTGAAAAATTACTTTTTTCTTTTTTGCTTGCAAGTCGATTGATTCTGTAATAGATATTTGAGATAGATCTTACCTTACTTACAGTAACAACTGATTAAAAGTGCATAATTCAAAATGGCTTGGGTTGAATGATATTAGCCCATCAACATTTTTTTGTTTGTTCTTTAATGATATTAGCCCATCAACATTTTTTTGGTTGTTCTTTTAATATTACCAGCAACTAATATATGAAAAACCATTGCTAAAATAACGATTTTTAAAGAAAACAAAATAGAAAGTTATAAGCAATTAAGTATCGTTTGCACCCCTTTAAAACATTTCTGTCTTGTTTTACGTATTTTTAGCTGATTTTTTTTTGAAAGTTCACATTATTTTAAATAAAATATATTACAAACTGATGCATGTCTCATATATATATATATATATATATATATATATATATATATATATATATATATATAATATATATATATATATATATATATATATATATATGAAATTACACTTATTTCCTTAATAATTAAAGTGACATGGACTATATTTGCCAAAAATATTTGAGACCCCATAGCAGAAATTATAGTATTTATTTGTTGTAGAAATGTTTCTCAAAAATAGTTATAACCTTTGAACAGGGGTGTTCGTTAAGATGATCGGTTTGATCCAATCCATTCAAGTAAATCCAAATAGATTTTTCAAAATATAAATTTGAATAGGTCAAACTAAATTCAAATCCGATCCGATCCGATCCAACCAAAATGTAATTAAGTTGGATCGGTTTTTACAATTTGATTTCTTTTACTAAAACAAGACATTTTAAAAAAATAAATAACTTAAATATTAGCCAACTCTATTAAAGTAACTAATTGTTAGTTATGAATTATAATTTATAAAAAAAATGATTATAGTTTAATATTTCATTGACAATTTTTTATAAGAGGTACATGTTAACGTATTATATTGGATGGAAATTTCTAATAATTAAAAAAATAATTTAGTCAATTTATAAATGGTTAAAGATATATATTAAAAGTAAATAATAAGTTGTTACTCAAATTTTTTTAGATTATTTGGTTCTTATTTTTTAAACAAAAATCATTTTCAAATCCAAAATAATAATTCGTTTTAACTTAAAATAAATAAAAATAATATAAAAACACCTCCGAATAAAAGTAGGTGATTATTATGGGTTACCTACTAATTTTGCTCTCTCTCTCTCTCTCTCTCTCTATATATATATATATATATATATATATATATATATATATATATATATATATATATATATATGTGTATATATATATATATATATATATATATATATATATATATATATATATATATATAAAGAGAAACCTGATAATCAATGTTATTCGTTGTGTTTCCATAATTAATTTAACATTTGGATCATTTTAATGATGTCATCGTAAATAAAATTAAATTAAATTAATATGACTAAATTTGAAAGCTTGACTAACCGATTTAATATTAACATCATTTATAAAAGGAATGTATTCATGCATTTAAATCTCGTTATAATTTTTGAAAATAAATTCCGTTCATTCCTAATTTAAATCACGATTTTAGTTGACATCTTTCGTATATATTCTTTCAATTCACATCTATTATATGAAATGTATCTACAAGATTACGAGATATCGTCACTCGATTTCAAAGAATCAAAGAATTCAAAATTTGATATCCTTACTATAATCATTGTTGAAAGTTATGTATACATCATGTGCTACTGTTCGTACATTATGTTTTCTTTAGACCCTTTGCAACATCACGTTCGAACAATATCACCCTTTGCAACATCATGTTCGTCATCCAAGTTCCTTCTTTTATATGATGTTCTTAATTTTCATTAATTGTATTCAAGTTTTTTATTCACATTCGTGTTGTATTTGACTGTGATTTTTGAATGCATGAATAATGTTGATTATAAATGATAGTATTAGTTTTTAAATCTTTTACTTTTGTCTTTTTAACCTTGCATTTGATGTTGCACTGTACATGATTGATAAAATGCTCATGTGGAAAGCACAATGACTTTTGATTAACTGTATGTATGTATGTATGTATGTATGTATGTATGTATGTATGTGAGTCTTACATAATAAAAATTTTCTGAGATTGTTTGGATTGCATGATAGTTGATGATTGAAAACTACCATTTACCTTTAGGTGTTTTTAATTATCAATATTATATTACTATTAATTTTACATATTTGCCCATAATATGTATGTGTGTCTTACTAGGGGTGTGTGTGGTGCGGTTTGGAGTCAAAACTGCAAACTGCACCACATGTACGGTTTCAGATGTTTGGAAACCGCAAACCATACCGCGAAGGTTGTAAATTACACTATATGGTGTGGTGCGGTTTGATGTGGTGTGGAAGGCTTATGTGCAGTTTGATGCCATTGCTACTAGAAATATAAATGTACTTATTTATTGAATATTTAATAGCCGTAAAAATATATTTTGAGTTGATATGTAGTTTGGATTGCATTGAAAATTCTTTATTGTCCCAAAGCTCAATAAATATGTTATTTCCCTTTAGCAAATTATGCAATGCTATTAAATATATATGTAATTTGGTGCAGCTTGACTTTCAATGAAATTAGAAATATACAAATATACATCTTACTATCTTAATATATATATATATATATATATATATATATATATATATATATATATATATATATATAGGGTTAGGTTATTTTGTTTTTAATAACTACTGTGTGCCAGAATGCACAGATCTGGACCATTTGATGGAATATAATCAAAGATCATGATCTAAGGGTCTATGATAGTAGAATATGATAACATGTACCATATAATCACACAAATTTCAACATAAGGGCATTTTAGTCAATTAACCTATATTAAAAAAGGAAATTTTCGGATTTTTAGGAATGATTAATTTCTTTATTTTTTAAAAATCTGAATATTTAAAATTAATTCAAATTTAAAAATCCGATTTTATTCTGTCAGAATGATAGAATGCCAACCATAAACTAGTAAATATATTTTTCGATTTTATTCTATCAGAATGACAGAATGCCAAACATAAACTAGTAAATACATTCTGAAAGAATATACAAATCAATTCTTGAACTAATAATATAACAAATAATTACATTGTATGATTGTCATTAATTGAATAATAACAACATTCTGAAAGAAAAAAAAACATCAAAATCTAAGAAAAACATTAATCTGTTCTGAAAGAATATTATTTTTAATCAACACTTTATACATTGTAGCATAGCACATTCTGATATAATACACTCTCGTTCTATATGTTTTCTTCCTTCTCCACATCAATGTTAGCCTCTTCAAACCTAAATCCACAAAGAAAAGATAATCATTTTTCAAAAATTAAACAATTCAATGCATTATAATAGAATACAACAATAAATATTCTTACATAATAAACTATTCTTGCAGAATGATTTTGAATATTCTTAAAAAATTTGTAACATATTCTATCGGAAATGATATGATAGAGAATGATAACATATTCTACCGGAATGTTTTTTAATTTTCCTATCTAATAATGGTTTTTTACTTTCCCTATCTTGACAAATAAGAAGATTGAAATCAAATTGTCACAGAATAATAAACATTCTTAGATTTTTGACAGAATACATACTACATGGCCAGATTCTCTTTCAGGCATTTCCACAAACACCTTTTGTGCACACATATATAAATAATGGAGAATCAAAAGCTTAAAGTATAAAAAAACAAATATCCTCATTGTTCTTCTGATGCGAATTTAAGGGAGTGTACAACTCAGCAAAACTTAGCATCCATTAAAATAGGTTGCTTCATCAATTAGGGTTTAAGAAAAAAGGGTTAAAGTATAATCGTTGGTACCTGTATCAGATATCTCACTTGAGTAGATCCAAATAAAAATAGATCAGGCATGGGATTTATGCTTCCGTCTCGGAGCACCGTCTCTACAGCTGATTCACAAATGTGCCGGTTTCCTGTCCACAACAGTCCGACTGCTCTGTTCACTGGATTCACCGTCCGGCCAGAGGCTTCGAACAGTAAAGACTGAAATAAACCTGAACGTACACAATCAAACAGATAACCAATCAATTCGTATTATATATCAACATATTAATCAACCAAAACCTCAAATAGTATAACTTGTAAGAAGGTATGAGAAAAATAGATAGATTGAAGATGTTGTGATGATATTTACCGGTGCTCAGGGACGGAGGAGAGGAAGGACATAAGGCCGACACAACCGAAAAATTTGGCAACAAACAAATTGGCGTTGGCTTGAGCTTGAGCACTTTCGATGGCACAGAGGCTTTGTCTGAGAATGCAGCCCTTTCGAAGAATTCTGCAGCCATTGCAACAACACCTTGAGTCTGTTTGTGTGCTAATTGTTGGAAGCGATGCTGAATAGGAATGGGGTTTGGAGTTGGGTTTATATATGTCGAACTAAGGAGAGGATAAGGGTTTCTGGATCTGTGAAGAGAGAACGATGATTTTTAGAAAATTAAGGGGAATCGTTAGTGGTGTTATATGAAGATGATATCCTAAATTAGTGGGATATTGATTGATTTTGTTTTCTTTTACCATAATTAATTATAGTGTATATTACTCTTATACCCTTTTATTATTTATTAATGATTTAATTATTTCTTGAATTCTCATTGGTGCATTTAGGCACACAATACTTGTTAAAAACATTTGAACCTAGCTTTATATATATATATATATATATATATATATATATATATATATATATATATAATGTGTGGTACGGTGCACTTTGAACCGCAAATTTGTAACTATAAACGACAAACTGCACAACAAATGCGGTTTACAAATAATACAAACCGCAAACCGCGCCATGAATGTTGAAAACAACATTATGCAATGTGGTCGGTTTATTCGGTTTATGCGGTTTGGTGCACACCCCTATGTCTTACTATATCCTGCTATTTCTGTTTATTGCAAAATGTATTTAAAAGAAATGGTTACAAGTAGAATGATATAGATTAGGTTATTTGAAAAAAAAAAATTAATGTCACTACTGCTAAAAACACAGGAGACAAGACTATGTGACTTCTATCAGAGTTCATTGTTGTAATATTCAATGTATGTTTATGTCTATGTCGTTTTCTATTTTCTCCCTACATATCCATTTAAACATAAAATTAAATTAATTATTTTAAGTTACGTATCACGGTATTAGTGATATTTTATATGCAAATTGATTAATGTTCAAATGAATATATCAAGATACAATGTTGTTATACAATACTTTATATGGACCATTTTAACCCCTGATGTCATTTGATAAAAAAAGATCCTACTTTCAGTTGTCCTTCAAAATGATTTGACCATTGTGCCCTTATATGTTTCAATTTCCGTTCGAGAATTACTAAAATATTAATTTGACATATTTGCCCATAATTCTTGGTTTTTAACAAATTTAGTTAATATCAATGTGCTTTGATTTTAATCTACAATGTTTTGAATTGCAATTTCTAAATTTATTTTGAGTTGTTGTAACTGTGTTCAGTGGATACAAAGTGCATTGTAATTTCTCTTTTGTTTTATGTGCGTATGTGGTTTGTTTTTTTATTTAAAACGCTAAAGCTCTTATTTCAACATTTTCTCGTAATTTGTCCCTGCCTTTGAAAGGTCATATCTCGATCATGGGAAACTCTTTTTGGTCAAAATCAGTGAAAAAGGTTTCGAACTTAAGTCCTCTACACTTCATTAGTTTTCACCGAAATCCATAAATTTCTCTAACTATGGTAAAAATGACCATTTACCCAGACTGGTTTGGAATAAGCTACTATGCGAGACTGATTTGTAAAATTCACCATAAATCATAAAAAATTCGTATGGAGGTGTGAGAATACTACTTTTAAAGATAAGACCTTGATCTATGTTCATGTAATACATTTTTCAAACATATGGAGGTTAATTGGGGGGGGGGGGGGGGGGGGGGAACAGATCCTGAACAGACCCTAAGTTTTATGTATAAATATGCATTTGACAATATAACATCCTTCTTTTAGTTGTCCTTCAAAGTGATTTGACCATTGTGTCCTTATATATTTCAAATTATTTTGAGTTTTTATAACCGTGTTCAGTGGATACAAAGTGCATTGTAGTTTCTATTTTGTTTTTAATAGATTAGTTAATTAGCAATGTACTTTGACTTTAATCTGTAATGTTTTGAATTTGTGCATTTATATTTTCTGTTTTACATGGATCATTTATGATTACAATGTTATTTTATGTTCTAGATTGTGTTTATTGATGATATCTTGGTATATTCCAAGACCAGAGAGAAGCATAATGAGCATCTTCGCGAGCTTCTGTGGGTTATGAGGCGAGAACGACTTTATGCTAAGTTCTCGAAGTGCGATTTTGGGCACCTAATTAACCAGGATGTGATTTTGGTCGACCCAGCCAAGATCGAGGTCGTGATGCAGTAAGAGGTTCTGAAATCTCCCTTATATATCAAGAGTTTCTTGGGTTTGGCAGGGTACTATTGGAGATTCATTCACGATTTTTCCAAGATTACGGTACCCCTCACTCGTATGACGAGGAAGGGGTGGATTTCTGATGGGCCCCTGAGCAGTAGTCGGCATTTGAGACCCTTCGGTAGAGGTTCTACGAGGCCCCGATATTGACCCTCCCAGAGGGAATTGAGGATTTTGAGGTATTCTATGATACATCCATCACTAGTTTGGGGGCAGTCCTCATGCAGAGAGGATGGTTATTGCTTATGGTTCGCCGCACTTGAAGTCGCAAGAGACGCAATATCACATTCATGACTTAGAGTTGGGGCAGTGGTTTTTTCCCTAAAAATTTAGAGGCACTATTTGTATGGTGTCTATTGTACTATCTACACGGATCACAAGAGTCTGAGGCATATTATGGATCAGTCGAACCTGAACATGAGGCACCACAGGTGGTTGAATGTGGTCATGGATTATGACTGCGAGATCCTTTACCATCCGGGTAAAGCGAATACAGTGGAAGATGCTTTGAGCCACAAGTCAGCTGAGTCTTCAGAAAGGGTGGTGTATATGAGGATATCACTTGATTCTCTGCTTTTAGGATTGACCAGGGAAGCTCATGCCGAGGGAGTTCGGAAAGAGAAATAGAAGAAAGAGAGGATCAGAGGTAAGATTGATAGATTTGTCACAGATAGTCAAGGGATGTTGACCCGGTGTGGTCGGGTCTGAGTTCTGATGTCTGGTGGGGTTAGATAAATAGTTTTAGAGGAGGCTCATAAGTCTTGCTTTTCTATTCATCCAAGGGCCAACAAGATGTATCGGGATTTGAGATTGAGCTGTTGGTGGTCGTGTATTAAAAGAGAGAGAGAGAGAGAGAGAGAGAGAGAGAGAGAGAGAGATAGCCTGGTATGTTGAGAGATGCATGACCTGCAAGATGGTCAATGCAGAGCATCAGAGGCCACATGACAAGCTGCAAACCCTAGAGGTTCCCACGTGGAAATGAGAAATGCATGACCTTTAACTTTATTTGATGTTTTGTTTCATTTCAGGTTGCTATTGTCTTCTTAAAAAACAAAAAAAAAAAAAAACAGAAGCAAGGATTATTGATGCTTTCAAAAAAAGGGAGAAATGTCATTAGTTTTGTTTGGTTGTCACTTTTTCATTCATAGAATACATACCAAATTGAAAGAAGAAGGTTATACATGTAACGGGAAGCAAACCTCAATGGTGGTTTCTCTGAGGGGGAGCATAGATGAACAAATAACTTCAACTGTATTTATTTATTATTTCATTCTTTATTAGTTTGGTTTTGACATCATCAAATAGGGGGGATTGTTGGGAACATATTTATATAGATTTTATGATGTAAAATATATACATTATAGTTTTATTTTATCTACTTATTGTAAACATAGTCTTTTCTAAGCAAATGTAAATAATACAACTTAGACAAAATGGTCTATCAGAGTTTGTTTATTTAGTTAATCTGAAGATATGCTAATGTTTCTAAAGACTGATATTGAAGATATATGTTACTGCTCTACCAAAAATTAAAGTTAAGATGTTGAAGACTGAAGACCAAATCTAAGCTTCCTTAGCTGAACAAATCTGAAACTAATCTCCGAAGTCATCATGTTTCTTGGTACCACTGAAGATCACCCCTTGATGACCGAAAGACACTTAAGGCACTGGAAGTATTATCAGCACGAAGATCGCCATTTACGAAAGACCTGATCTGCTGGTATTGTGACTGATCAATGTGTCCATATGTTGAAGTTCTTATATTGATGACACATTGATTATATGATACACCGAAGACCTGATATGGTGATAGTTATACTCTATATGCTGAAGTTGAAGCTGCTCTAACTAAAGTTGATCAACACATGACTCCCTAACGTTGATGCCCCTAATGAGCGTATATCGTATTGGTGCTGATGTACGAATCCAAAGCAGATCAGAATTATTTGGTGAAGAACTATTATGAAGATCTTATCTGATATGTTTCTTATTTTCCAGATCTATATATATCTTGGCAGATTTAAACCCTGCAAATCATGGATTTGATTCAATTGGAAGATCTGAAGAATCTGTAGAATTCTTTTCTCCTAGGTTTAGACTAGTATTTATACTAGCCTCTTTCATTAGTTAAGAGTTGATGATATTGTATTCTGCATGAGAGAGTTTCTGTAGAGAGATAAAGAGTTCTTGGTGAGTTCTTAGACATGATTCAGATTATTTGTTCGTTCTCTTTGTGAGAATATTCTTAGTGAAAAAACTCGACAAATAGAATTGGTTTCTATTTTTTAAATACTTGTGTTATTATTTCAGGTTTCTATTAGATTCATACTCAAGTGTTAGGGTTTGAGAACTTCCAAAACTTCCTATTTCTTATTATGTTTTGATTAGCTTGAAGGTTTTTATGATATGATAATTATATATGAATTTTGATTGTTATATGGAAATATGTGTGCACTCATGAAATGACATTTTGGAAGTGATTTGATTTTGAAAGCAAAAAAGGCTTTATTTTTTTAGAATTTGATTTTGGCATCCTATATGCGCACTCATACTAGGATGAGAGACTTGTTTGTTCATGGTATGGATCCGTTGTGTTTTCAGTTGATGTGATTAGATTTCCAGATAATCCTCACATATATATGTGGGGCCACTACCCTTTGTGTGGGACTAAGGATATGGCTAATTGGCTACCTAGTTCCTAGATCGATGGTTAGAGTTCCACTTAACCAGACAAGGAAAAGGGAAGCACAATTTCCATATAGAATTAAAGAGATGAGATTACGACTCTAGGAACTTGTGGGGAGTACTTCAAGTGTCCACTGTCATTTATCATTGTGAGACTT